TGGATCTTGCTCCGAGTATACTGTTGGATATGACGAGTAGTGAGAAGACCAAATATAAGCATAGGTAAAGATGAAATTAGATTCCACACAATCAAAACCAAAGTATTGTCATCTGTATGAGACCAACGAATAGAACTACAAGTGAACTCAAACACCTGGAAACACGGGAAGTATAAGAAAATGTTGCTCATTATTTGCCTATCAGCAGAACCACCCGCTATAAACTAACAAGATAAAATTTTATAAGAGAAAATAAAAATAAGATCGATTTTATTCTATTCTGTTATCGTTAGTTAAAATATCTTATTCACGAAAACAAAAATGTCAGTGTTGGACACTTTTGTTATATTCTAGTTCTCACTGTCGTATAATTGAATTCATTTTCTAAGACAATGAAAAAACGTCCTGAAAATACTTATCCGTCTTTTTTGATAGCGCAAAAGTACGTTGTCTCATTGAAGAGGACGGCAGTAAAAACAGAATATGAATCTTTAAACTTGTAAGAACATATTTTTAACTTTTGTAAGAGCTTTCTGAGATGTTTTTATTCGAAAATTCTCAGTTTCAATAACTTGTATATGATCATTACATTTTCGAATTCACAATGAAAGTAAGAAGCGCTGGTACTATGAGCTTGAACAATGTCTATAACACAGAATGAGTCAGCACACTATTGATTGACAATAGACTCATAGCTGTTGATCTTATAAGAAAATTGATCAGCATTTTCACTACTAGGAACGAGTTTCATATTGTTGTGTAATGTACGCGAAAACTACCAAATATAACGCACTTATCACTAGATAACGGCGTCGTTATCTTTGCAAATAAAATAAAAAGATGTATTCTTTTTATTTGGTGTATACCGTCTAATAGAGGTAAGTAATGGTGACTTTTTTATTTATTCTTCTATTAGGAAAGTTAGCCATTTTACATGCTTACTAGACCCTATTAATTTATTTCGGAAAGAGAGAAAAGCATGTACAATAACTGATTATATATAAGATAATTGGAGTAATATAAAATAGTAAATTGAAAAGAGCAAATTATAATAGACAAGTACGATACATCTGTTTATGAAAGAACAAATTTTGGTGCGAATAGGAAGCTCTGTTTCGACACATTTTGATGCTTCTCCTGCATGAAAAAGTAATATTCTTCAGAAATCAATTTACTTGACCCTATACTCAAATGGTATGCAATACTTCATCAGTATTTTGAGGGTGAGGGTTAGCTAGGAGCTTTTTCGTGCCTTACCTGTTAATCTGATTTCAGATAATGGTTCGTGCGTAATATTTCCTTGAGCATCGTCAGATGAAGAACTAAATCTATTTCTATCTTCATTCTGTCGTATAGTTCAATGAATTCAGTGATAAAATACATAATTGAATCCGATCAATTCTTTAACTTATTTCAGAATACCATTAACAAAAAAACTGGAACTCTCTTTTACACTTTTTTTGTGAAGAGATAACTTTATTTTAGATTTTTAAAGTACAATTTTGACGAAGACACTTTATTAGATAAAAGATTTAGGGTATAAACATGATCTAAAGCCAAAAAGTTCGTCTGAGCTTTTTCTTGAATCTTTTAGATGATGAGTTACATCGTTGTCGATTATTTTTATTATTTGCATTCTGCATTTAAAACTGTCAAATGATTATGAAGGTCTCAGAGGAAAACAAAGATTCCATTGGATTGCTGAAAGTGGTGACTTTAAAGATTTCATTCAAAAGATTTCAGAAGTTTAAAATAGTTTGGAAATTACATGAACTCTTTTTGATGTCTTCATCATTGTCTGTCACTGATGAATTACTACACTACAAGCGGTACTAATTCAAATGAACTCAGCTAAAGATTTCCCTTTTTTAAAAGAATTCTTCTCACTATCTTTGCTATTGGAATATTTTTTAAGAGGATAAGACTTTAGAAAACTTGTCTGTCGCGCTATTGGTACTCACTCGTAGAAGAATATGTAGCGAATAGAAACAAGAACCAATTTTGCAGAAAAGAAGTGGCTCATGAATAGATATGAAAAATTTAAAACAAAATGAGTAAAAAGATCAAATATTACTGTATCTTTATGATGCACTAGAAGCTTGAAGATATACATCATATCTTCTAAAGACAGCAGAGACCTAGGAAATACAAAAGAAAAGGATTTGGAGTAACGTGAAAATAGTGGCGTAACCAGATGGGGGCTAGAGGGGGCTCAGCCCCCCCCTAAGAGGGCCTGACCCCCCCCCCCCCCTACAAAAATTTTTGGCTCCCTATACATAAAAATATTTATCTTTGACTTTGGTATCTCTAGTAGCGCTTATTTGAAGAATGACCACAGGTTTCGACTCCTCTATCTAAATTCCCGTTATCTATGCCATATATACATCTAATTAGTAATTGAAATGAATCGTTTGGTACAGGAAGATGAAAGCTTTCACTTGGAATAAGTTTTACTTAGTGTTCTTAATTTAAAAAAATCAAATGTCTCCCATGTAAAAATGATCGTTAAATTGACGATTTAACGAAAATTAACGTTACCTTTTGTCCGTAAAAACGCGTTAAAAATCGATGTTTTAACGAACTTTCATGCGTTATTCGACGTTAACATCTGAAAAACGGAGAAGAGCCCATGAAAGTTCGTTAAAACGCCGATTTTTAACGCATTTTTACGGACAAAAAGGTAACGTCAATTTTCGTTAAATCGTCAATTTAACGATCATTTTTACATGGGCTTGGTCTCATCGAAAACTCAGTATGTTCTTTCTATCGAAAAATGTGCAAGATTCACATTTGGTTTTCTAGTTTTCTTCAAGGATTTTTTCATCGAAAAAAATGTATGAATATGTTTGGACATGCATATTCTTTTTGAGTTTGTTGAATTCTATGTGATCATCTAGATGTATCTATTAAAGCACCTTAAAACAACAGTCTGATTACCTTTGGATCCTTTGCACATGACAAAAATATTTTTATTTCCTAAAAATATAAGATGAAAATGCTTTCTCACAATTAATAAAATGGCAACGGTTTTTCACGACATCTTATGAATTTGAATTAATTTTCGTGTGATAGCCTTGACATATCCCATAAGACTGTATATTTCGGTAAACTTAGAATATATGTAATGTAGTATACAGAATGTCACAAAAAAGAGAGTCAAACCTTTGAATCACTTTTTAGTTCATTCACAGCGCAACAAATGAGGCATCTGGAAGATATTTTTTGAGAAACATATTTTTATAGCTCAATTTTCTTGCTTTATTATTCAAGAAAAATTCGTTTCGCCAATCAGTTACTTCAAGATACTTTTTTTCTAATCAATAACCCTTTTTTTCACTTCGACTTAAATCTACAATAAAGTTTCATTCTTTCATTTGCTTCCAGCAACAAAGCGTTCTTTCACCGTTCGTAGTGGTCTTCTTTTTTTTGAAATAACTATTCAGAGTTTAGCCGCCGAAGGCGGCTGTGGGTATAATACAACTAACTTCGTTTTGCGCTTGTCACTCGAAAAACGTAAGCTTCTCTGATATGAATCTATATAGTTTTTTGAAAAAAATGTTTTTTTTTTTACGAAAAATTGCGTTTTTGAGAGCGTTTCCTGGTGAAACAAACATTAAATATTTTTACGCGATTATTGTGTCATCAACGCGAAAAATAATTTATACTGCACTGTTATTATAAGAAACTCATTCCGAAAATGGTAAACAGAGTTAATTTTTCATGAAAGAGCGAAACAGTTCCACCACTACCTATCTCAGAGATTATGTGCGCTATTGGAAGGAGGGGGCAGAGCCCCCTCTACGCCTTTTTTCTGGTTACGCCCCTACGTGAAAATCCCAAGGATACGAAATTCACCGCTCCTCCTTGCTTTGAAGCATAACCCTGGTTTATAATTTTCTTTTCGTTTTGTATCCGACAAAACTAACGGAAAATGTCATACTGTGCACCATTCTCAACACTATACTTTTGACTGTAAGTTGGCACATAGTGTAGTAGCTCCAACATGTTGTTGCCAATTTTGTTTTCCCCAACATATATGTATATTTATTGAATGCCTGACATAAACTTCTCATTCTCAAACTCTTAAAGGTGTTATAAATTACCATTCTCTTAAAAAGGATCAAACAATTCGAGTATGGATAAGACTGAAAAGCGTATACAATTAAATTACTTAGGATTGATCAAAATTGCTGGCCATGACGTTTTCAATTTTATAAAACACTTAGTATCGAAAGTTTTATTACATAAATACATTGTAAAATGCCTCGTCTTTGGTAATGCAAAGTACTCGTATCTTATCTACCGATCAGCGGTAATATACATAATGTAAAAAAAAGAATTTTTTTTCTCGATGCGATTCACAAATATAAGGCTCTACAAACATAGACACAATTTGTGAACAATATTTTTTCTCCATATTATTCTTACTAAAGAAAAATTCTGTGAAGTCTATACAAATACTATGTGTGTTAGCTGATCGGCCGCGAAATATCAATCTTTTCCTATCTATCACGGATCTTCAACCTTATTACCAGTCTATAGTAGAATGTCACATCTTTTCTCTTCTTTAGGCATAGCTTTCGTTTGTAACGGAAGGATTAAGAAGGTTTCATAAAAATAATATGATGACAACCACCATATATCAATTCACATTACTATTATTGCTGTTACTACTAATTATTAGCGATTCTGTCAGCTCATCCCACGTCACTACACCGCTATCCACTCAACTATATGTCGTACCATATCCAACAATTCTCGGTAGTGACGCTGACGGATCATTCACACATCCATACTCATCAATTCAACAAGCATTCGATCATATTGAACGTAACTGTAATCAGAACATCCCTACAATGTGTCGAACAACAATCAACCTGTATCCAACCCATCACTTCGTGAGTACTATCAGATTTTATCAAGTACATAGTCACACACGATTAACAACGATGAGTGCTGAAGACACTGCCTTTTACGAAAAATTGGCTACTAGTGAACACATGTATCGACGATTACCAACTGCAAGTATAAGTGGTGGGATACCAGTGACTGATTGGACATTAGTGGGTGGTAGTACGTACAAAGCTGTCATGACACAACCGATATTTGTCAATCAGTTATTCGTTGACAATCGACGTATTGTTCGTACACGCATTCCAATAAATCAATCCGAGTATCTTCAATATGCTGCACCATTGCAAGATCCAAATCAGGCACGATATGGTTTTCAGTATGCTCAAGGACAGTTCGAATCCTGGCCATTGAATGATGCCATGGTAGTTGTCTATCACAGTTGGACAACATCGCACCATTATATTGATCACATTATTACGTCGAATAGAACTGTTTTATTCACCAATCCATCAGATCTTCCTATTGGAACATATGTCATTCAAGGACAACAGCGATTTCATATTGAAAATATATGCATAGCACTTGTGCCCAACTCGTTTTGTTTTGTGAATGCAACAAAAACCATTTATCTGATGACTGATGGATCTTATGATCCGAGGCAAGTACAGATTATCACACCAGTAAATGAATTTGTGGTATTAATTGCTGGTACTAATGCTACTAATCCAGTGGAGGGCATTATCATCGATAATGTAGCAATACAACATAGTGCATGGAATATTGGTCGAACCCAACAAGCTGACTATCAGGCAGCCTCGTTTCTTACTACTGCTCCGCTTTATATCGCCAATGCAACATCCATCATCATCTCAAACGTTGAAGTCAGTCATACTGGATCATATGGAGTCTGGATTAAAGAAGCAACAACTGATATCAATATTATCAACTCGTTAATTACTGATACTGGTGCTGGTGGTATTCGCATCGGTCAAATGATAGCACCAGTTCCAACACCAACTAGTTCGATAAATATAATATCAAACGAAGTCAGTTACGGTGGAAATGTATTTCCAAGTGGTGTTGGAGTTATTAGTCATCGTGCAATTGATGTTGTCATTGCTGATAATAGTATCCACCATCATCGATATACTGGAGTTTCAATTGGATGGGAATGGGGATATAGTCCATCATATACAAGTCATATATTAGTTCATGGCAATTATATCTATAACACTGGACAACATATTCTTTGTGATCAAGGTGGCATTTATACACTTGGTATCCAGCCAGGAACAGTTATTACTAATAATGTGATCAAGAATGTTTTTAGCTATGCTGCCTATATGTGGGGCATTTATCTAGATGAAGGCTCGTCTGAGATCGTGGTCGCGAATAATGTTGTATATAATATTGGTTGGGCTGGCTTATTTCAACATTATGGTGCTAATAATACCATCATTAATAATGTATTTGCACGTGTCTCATTGATTCAACCACCACAGCCTGGCGACCCCATTCCAGACGGTAATCTTCGTATTATGCTTACCGAAAATCATCTTTCATGGACGTTTACACGTAATATTGTCTACGACACATTTCAAGGAAGCAATCATTCTGCGTTTACATCTGATGCGCCAAACGTCTCGGTGTCGTTTAATAACAATGTTTATTATAATCCTTATGGCACTCCGTTATTATTCGGAATACAACAAACATCACTTGCGGAGTGGCAAAAAACTGGACAAGACAATAGCAGTGTAATAGCAGATCCATTGTTTGTTGGGGACGTCAATCAATGCGAGTTTTTTACTGTTCAGTCCGATAGTCCTGCAGCGAAACTTGGATTTGCAAATATAACTAAACTTTCGAAGTGGACTCCCGGATGCAGTACAGATAGTGTGACTGACAACAATCAATTTTATCATTGGTAACAGAAATGTTGTTTGATTTTTCGGTCTATTCGACAACCCGGACATACGACTCGTTGCCATTCACAACCATAATCAACACATGTGATGAAGTTTTGTTTGTTTGTTTGTTATCTAAATCTTCTTTTCCTCGCGTGATGAATTAAAGAATGATTAGTATTTTGCTGTAGTTGTACTTAATTTAAAATAATTTTTTCTTGCGTTTATTTTTATGAATAAAAGTTTGCTCAAAATTTACGGATTGAAATGGAGTTGTATTGTACTAAAGAGATGAAAGAAGAGTAAACTGACAAATAAAGCTCGTGAGTAGCAAGATATTGAAAGATTTCCACAGGTAGATCTTCCAATCGAGAGACGACTCAGCCATTCATTGCTTGGATTTGTATACTATTGTAGAGAAGAATGAGCACTGTCGATATTGATAGTCAACACAGGTACCTGTCATTATGTCTTTAGGTTGTACTACTCCACCGATCGTGTCCAAGTTCAAGAAAATGTTGAATATACATGTCACAACAAGATGACCTCACTTTTTTGTCTTTCAAGCATTGATTAAGCTCAATTTTGCGTGTAATTTTCGATGTTTCTGTTCATATTCTCTTTGAAGATCATATTATTCCAGCAAATAAACTTAGTTCTTTGGATAAGGATCGAACGCTTTCTTATATAATTAGAGACTTCTTCAGTGAAATTCTACAATCATTAGCTCGACAATGTTGTACTGCGCATGATTATATAAGTTTTTATGTTGCAACTGGATGAGAGTCATTTCAATCTAACCTAACGAGTGGAACAAAACTTTTGCATTAATTTTGTTTTCACTTTGGTCATTTTTCGAATAACTTTCCATAGTTCAAAGATATTGATCTCGAGGTTCCACCATTGGAAAGACCAATTACGGGAGTGTCTATCTGTATAACATTTTATATTTTTAAGAAACAAGTTCATGGTTCTTTAAATATGAATAATTTGGTTGTCTACTTTCATAAACTCTCATCATGACAACATCGAACAGTAAACAGTGGATTAATATTAATATTTTAAGTTCGTTTCCCAAAGAAATGAAGAAATAAGAAAGATCATCACCTCTTTGATTGGCTATACCAGATACTATCATACCTGTTGTGACAAGATCATGATTGTAGGTTTTCATGGAGAACTCTCCATTGATGTAAAAGAACTTCCGATGATGTAATGACGATCATGATCTCGACATCTACCATTTTTTAGGAATTTGATTTACTGCGATACTATTGATTAAATTTATAGGAGTAACAAGATAAATCATTCTTTCGAACTATCTCATCTAATGACATTCATCGTCATTTCCATCTTCTTTTATTTGTCGATCGTTGTTTACGAACAAGATTCATATTTCTAGTGTATTTTATATGTCAACACTACGAACTCCCGGGATTTCCATCAGATTTCCTGAATTCTTACCGTACTTCCAAGATTTCCATTGTACTTTTACGGACTTGGAATTCCGGGAATTCGCCGTTTTTTCCTTGCATACGTTATAATATAGGGAGGAGATCATGAAAACTTCAACTTAATACTTGCACTCACCGTTTTCTTCGAGAATATATGTGAGTTTCGAGAAAAACCGATCGGACGACATTAGCAAGTACATTAGTAAATACCATCAACTATGTTTTCATCAATAGGGAAACTTTGCTTTTGCATCGAAATTGCAGATAGAGAAAAAAATATTGTGCTTGTTTTGTAATCATTCCAATCATCAGAATACCAGTATGAGAATCGATAGCTTATCTATAGATCATTTGCAATACCACATAGACATCACTCTTCTGCATATACTCATGACAAGAACAGGAAAAACGACGAACGGCTAATCTCGATGCAGGGTGTGGGTGTGGATGTTAGTCTTCTCTTTAGCGACACCCACACCCGAAACTATCACTTTTGATCGAAATACAAAAATTTTACTTTCTTTGTGAAGTGCAAGTAATTGAAAAATCGACTAAGATTTTTTTCTTTGGTATTTTCATATGACTAGATAGAGCTCGTCGCGTTCTACAAGGATATGTATATTGAAAAACCTTATATCTTTTCTTTGAAGCAAAATCTATAGAAAACTACTACGGGAGGTCGAAATAATTAAAGAAAAAAACGAATGCATAATGTTTTCTCTGAGAACACAAAGAAAGCAAAATTTTTGTATTTTGATTAAAAGTGATAGTTTTGCAGCTTACTATAGAAGGTCGTTCGGATAAATAAAAACTCGATATATTCACCTTTAATTAAAACGAAAGTTTGGGTTAAAGTTAAATGAAATAGCAAAGATATACGAAAAAACTTTTGGTAGGTGACTTTTGAGACACCCTATATATAAGAAAGTCTAGATTTTTCTTTGGTATAACTAATACGGAAGAAGTTTGTACTTAAATACAGACAGATACAAAGAAGAGTTGTGTCAAACTGATGTATAAACTAATACATTGATACATATTGGCCAGCAGAGAAAAACGGGAATAGACAAGTTTTATCTGTTCGACTTCGATGGTAGTGAGCCCTCTTTTATTGTATTAATTCTTTGTAAATATTTATCTTTATCTGCTGATAGGTGTTAATACACATTAAAATTACCCAAGTATTATTTATTTGATAAATATCTAGTTCTTTCACTGTGAATTTTTTTTAATAAAAAATATTGAGCTTTAAAATTAATTGTTTGTTCTACAAAGGTCTTAATTTGACTTATGACCAGTTGATAAACCGGCTTTTCAACAAAAAGAAAATAAAAAAATGTTTCGTAGGACGAACTATTTCTTCCATCTTATTTAAGTTCTCTGCGAAACAAACAGAAAAACCTATTTGAAATTTTACGTGTACATGTGCCATGTGACAAATAACATTCAATGAGTTGAAAGGCAAGTTGCATTTGCTACTGTAAAGCACTTATATTTCATCTTTTCGGTCTTCCAGCCATTTGCCGATTCTGTCAGTAAATAAGCAATTACACAATTGAAAGACATGTATGGCAAAGACAAGTATAACTACAATCAAATAAAAATCAAAGTAGCACACAACTCAAAGACGTTGATAGATGTCTGACAGAATTATTTTTTCTCTCCATACATTACCGGTAGAAGTCGTCTATCGAATTCTTGACAATCTCAATGATTTCAATCTTTTATGCGCAATACAAAACGTTTGTATACGCATCAACACCATTGTGAATACCTATCATCGGTATCAGGTAAACGTTTTCTTTCTAATTTCCAGAATCTTCAATACATATTAGAGATGGTCAAAATAACAGTCACTCTTAGGAGGAAATATTGTATTTACAGTAGAAAAGCACGTCAAAGTACAAATGTAGTTCAAACTACTTAGAATTAGTTCAAAGTTGCTGCAAGTAACTCGAAGTACTTTAAAGTAACGTGGAATAACTTTAAGTGCAAAAGTCCGCTCTTTTCTCCTAGAGTCACTCATTCACTTGCTGCGAGTCACTTTTGTAGTCCTGTCACTTGTATGGACGACTACAACAAGAAAAATCGTTTCTTTTTTATGTGTGCGCCACTATATTGGAAGCATACAGAACGAAGGAAGCAATTTTCTCTTGCATTCGCCTCGTACAAATGACAAAATGATACAAGTGAGTTTCCAGAAAAACAAGATCCTGAAAAAAGTGTTAGATGCTGTTAATTTCTTTTTAGATTTTCGCACTCGTACCAATTTATGCAAGGAATTTGTTACTGGAGCTTCGTAAAAATGAGGATCTTTCCTCTAATAAACTGATTTCAACCGAACATGTGTGGGTACCTTTAAGATCACACCTTTTCAGTTTCTATTGCGACTTAATTCAAGGAAAATTTAGACACTTTCTATAAACAATTCTCGGCTTCATTTCTCTTTAAAAAACTTCATTTCATGTCAATTACAATTTTTAGAAACTTTGACGAAAGAAGATTCTCGACAACGAAGAATTTGTCCCTCACGTTATTTTCTGCTGCCAACTAGATTTTAACCAGAGTATTTCTTACTCTACTGAGGAGAAAACATACTGTTTTAAGAGTCAATTAAAAAGTTAGCACGGATTTCTTTGCCAAATGGATCCCATAACAGCATGTTTTTTCGGTACTACAAGTGTAGAAGTACTCTGGTTGAAAATAAGCAGAGATTTCCCATTTACCGTTACTCAGTAAACAGTTTATCATAGTGACTTTTGTCCTCTGACAACCACATAGTTACAACGGATTTAACTATTAATCAGAAAAACCTCAAATTAATATTAACGAGTTTAGCGGTCGTTGGTCTTCTTTATTTTCCTAATATTACAGCTTAACTAATGGTTCTTAACTCAATCTGACTCTAGGGAAAAATCTTGCAACGCTAATGATCAAGTCACAAGATAGTATCAAAATCTTTGAAAACAATCGAAAATTTTACAGAGCTATGAAAAACTCTGGAAATACTAACCAACTTCTGGAAATTTTTGAAAAATCCCCAATAAACAAAGTTGGAATTGTTGTTGAGCCACGTCTGGCATATAGCTTAGGAAATAACTCGATGATTACGATTCTATTGTCATCACATTCATACTTATCTTCGTCTCTATACATAGACACTCACCACATTAGATCTTTCATCGAATCCAATCGGAGATGTTGAGGTCAAACGCCTCACTGATGTCTTAAGAAATAATAAGGTAGTTCTTATTCTATTATTATCCTCCTCATATTCATCTTTTTCTCGACACAGACAATCACCACATTGAACCTCAGATGCAGTCAAATTGGAGATGTTGGGACACAACATCTTGCTGATGCATTACGAAATAATAGAGTGATTCTCTTCATGTTTTCATCGTTCTCATTTTTATCTTCTTCTCTACATATAGACACTTATCACACTCGACGTTTCCAACAACGAGATCGAAGATACTGGCGCACAACATCTTGCTGATATCTTACGAAATAACAAAGTGATTCTCATTCTATTTTCAGCTCACTAACGTTGTTCTCTTGTCTGCACAT